GACGGGGGGGGGGGGGGGGGGGGCACCTGACATGGCGCAGGACTCTAACTATAGCTCTCGCGTGTGCTGGCAGACGGTGGGCAAGCATTTGCAATCATGATGAAGCAGCAGCTACGCTGCGCAGCTTATTGATTTCGCCAATAATGTTGACCTCGCGTCCTTTGTACAAGGCCGCAATGTCTTCCTCCAACTAAAAGCACAGTTTGAAGTGATGAATGAAACAGTGAAGATGCGATTTGAAGACAATGTGCGGCAAGTTCACCGCGTGTGTCTAGCTGGTTCTCGTATCAGAGATAGGAGAGAGCAGGGGAAACAGAGGCAGAGACAGAGACAAGGGCAGGGCAGAGAACACACTGAGGGCTCATGAGCAAATTGAATTGACAAACCTTGGCCTTGAGCCACAAGACGTCGCGTGCCAACGCCTGAAGCTTGGGGCGTGTTTCTTCAATACTACGCACAGCCTCAAATCGCTGCGTTTCCAGCTCTCGCAGTTTGTTATCGTTCTTGGCCACAACGGCGAGTCGTTGCTGCAAACTCTCTGCAAGACGTGCCGCATAACTGACAGCAGAAATAAATGGTGAGCGCCTCACACGCCAAGCTCAATGGTTGCTTCCAACCCAAAAAAAAGTCAACACCGCCAGCAGTGGCACTGACCGCGGTGATGAAGCAATCATGATCAGACGTTGGCTCCGCTCCGACTGCATGAGCGCCATAATGTCACCGAGGGCATGTTCGCAACGCTCAAGCAGGGCCACGTCCTGTGCACAATCATCAAGGGATAAAAAAAAATGAGCGACACGTCAGGCCAGCGGGCAGGGCGAGTCGCAAACTCGAGCTGACAGCGTAAACTCGAGCTGACGGCGTCAACTCGAGCTGACGGCGTCATACCTGGTCACGGATGATGGTGGGGGCGTTGCCAAGCGTAGCCAAGAAGGCAGACACGGTCTGGTCTAAATGGCAGCAACATGTCAATGAACACAACCGATGATGGGTTGTCATAAAGACGTACCCGGTCCAACTTACTTTCACTCTCGTGGCGCCGGGTGCGAAAAAAGGTCGACAGCTAAACGGTAAGCATGATTATGAGACCGAGTCCCCACCCCCCCCACATTGGAACCCCATGCCAGTGAATGGTCGTCATACCTCTTCCACCTCATCCAGGAAAGAGGCGCGATGCGCAGGATCATCTAGAAGTGGAGTACGAATAACTTCTGGCAACGCGGGATCAACGACCAGTGAATGTGAGCGGGGAGACCGTGGCTGACAAAGCGGTGGGGGCAACCCACCTGGGGCTGCCAAGTCATTGCCGGTGGCAGGGGCTTCATCGACAAAGTCGATGGTGGGAGCGTCACCAAAGTCGATGGTGGGAGCGTCACCAAAGTCGATGGTGGGCGCGTCGCCAAAGTCGATGGTGGGAGCGTCACCAAAGTCGATGGTGGGAGCGTCGCCAAAGTCGATGGTGGGCGCGTCGCCAAAGTCGATGGCGGGGCCCTTGTCAGTTGCACTGTTCGTGCCTGCTTCTGGTGGCGGCGCCTCACCCTATCATATAGCAGTCATGCAATAGCAAATGTGATGTGCAGCGCACTGCCGGCCAATCAAATTCACGATGCAGTTGAGAAGGGTGATTTCCAACCGTTTGGTATTCGTAAACGGAGGTATTGCCTTTCGTTCGCAAATGCTCGAGGATGGGCATGCATGAACCCTCTGGTGTCTTTTGACTACCAAACTCCTGTTGCAAAAAGCCGGTCCATGCCTTGTAGAAGTTCAAGGCATCTTGAATGCCCTTGCTCTCTCGCAACTGCGTGACTACACTCTGCAAGGGGGCAACATATCGCAACGATGAAGCGGGCGCGAAACACGGCCATCAATCACCTGGCAACGAGAAGATGATGGGCACCTACTGTCCACAGCTGAGGCAAATGCTGACGCAGTGCATCAATTTCAGCTGATACATCGCGGCCCTGGAAAACGAAAGAATCACCATTGCCATGGTCATGAATTGAGGGACGGGGTGAGGCACTTCTTTGAGGTGGTGAATGAATGACGATAGGCAGACCTCAATTTCGAGCTGCGCACAGTGGTCCCGGTATTTTTGTTGCGCGGCCTTGCTGGCCGACTGCAGTTCTCCCGAGCGACGGTCGCAATCCTGCAAACAAGCATGCCCCAGGACAGCATGCGCAGTCTTTGAGGCACGGCCCAACCGCGGCCTGTTGCAGCAGGCATAAGATATCGCCAAGCACATACCGAGATGCGATGGGTCGCTCGGTCCATGGTTTTTTGCAACGCTGTGACTTCGTATTGCACACTGCAGGGCAGTGCATTATCTGTGAGCAAGAATCGATCGCATGTGCGGGGCGCAGGGTTCGTCTTTGTTGCCTACTTATGCTCTAGCGCCGTTGCGCAGTCGGCCAGGTGCAATCTTTGCTTATCAAGCTGAGAAAGGATGGCCGTCAAAGCCTAGGAGAACAAGGGCAACATGTCCAGGTGAGCGAGGTCTAATGCGAAGGAGAGACGGCCCATTACTCCGAGCAGCACACCTTGACTCTGGGGGAAGTCGAGAAGCCCAGGACGTTGGTTTGGCCCGCATCTACTTGCTGAGTTGGGGTGCAAGTTTGGGATGAGCAAGAGCGCAAACCTGGAAGGAAAGCACGTGCGCAGGTAACCATGGGATGAAGTCCATACCGATACAATGTCCAGCAGTTGCTTGAGATGGTAGTAGGAGAGCATTGGCAGAGCCAAGATACGCTGTACTTCTTCATGATCGGCGGGCAGGTCGGGGCGAAGAGCTTGGACCTGCTTGCGGACAGCGCGCAACTTGGCATGATAATCGGCCTCGATCCAGCGACGGCTCTTGAGCCAATCTAACAACAGTAAAGAAGTGCTCAGTAAGTAGTGAACCCCCCGGGCTGCCAAGAGGCCAGAGTGCCGGCCGACTGCAAGATCGATGGTGCACAGCTCGAGCGAAGATCGAACCGACGAGCTTGCTGAACTGAATATCAATGGCCAAAACTTCATCGGCCATGGCACTGTTGCACAGCACGTTCAAGAGCTATGCCCAAGGCGGTCCACCAGATGCGTCTCAATCGTGCCAACCCAGGCTTCAATCTACCCCCAGCGTTGCCGCTCCCAATCAACTCGAGCTCAAACTGAAATAAAAATGAAAAAAAAACGTGGGGAACAAATAATCACACACACACACACACACACACACACACACACACACACACACACACACACACACACACACACACACACACACACACACACACACACACACACACACACGCAAAAGGTGTTGTTGGCTGGCATCAACTCCAACTATCGACGTTCACTTTTCCATTCAGACAGCTCATTTCCAGATCGTTGGCGGGTTTCAAGGCGGGTTTCGGGATTTGGTGTTGGGCGAGACGGATCAAGACCTGCTAACATGCGAGAGATGCGCTCGCAACGTCAGGGCGTGAGCAATCGCCAAACCACGACGATCATGGTTGTGGTGGCCGTGCCACTTCTCTTCTGGTTCGTGTGGGGCGCTCGTGAGCGGGATAGACAACGTGTGCAAGCTCGCATTAAGGCCCCGGGGGTCTCAGGTGCTCACCGTGGTTGATGTCATTAGGTTGCTTTTTGCGTCACAAGGGAGCCCGCCCGGCCCCGTGAATCTCCGTGAGATTGAGGTCAGTTCGTGCGGTCTCTCCTTTTGTGGACGAAGCTTGCGTGCAAGCCGACGCCTCCACACGCCATTTTGTGGACTTGTATTCGCCACCAGGCCAGGTCACGCCTCATCATCTTGACCTCACCTGTTGACCTTTTGTATCAGGTTGATATGCATTGTCATACGACAGAGTCTGATGGCGACCGCACAGCCGAGGAGCAGCTTGTCATTGCCGCGAGGGAAGGCCTCAAGGCCCTATGGATTACAGACCACGACATGATTCGTGATATCCCCCGGACTCGTGAAATTCAGGTGCGCCGGACGTCTTACTGACCCACCACAGAGATTTGCCAGGCACTGCTTGACCCTGGCTATCTTGACGCCCAATGCTCATATCGGCATCGCTGTCGTCACCTCCACAACTGTGCACCATGACTTGGTTGCGTGCGTGCAATTCTGGCTGAGGGAGGTTAGGCCAAGGCCCAGTCTCTAGGAGTGGCTGTGTCCTTCGGAGTTGAAATTACCGTTGAATGGATGAAGAAGGAGCATCATCTCTTGGGCTACTTTCCAGACTCGGCTTGGGATGGCCCTGCTCTGAGTCCGGCAATGACCTCGCTTCAGCAGGAGGTGGCCAAGGTTTGTCCATCCCGAGGAATGGCGTCACGCCTCATGCCGCCATGGCTGTTTGCGCGACCTTTGACATTGCTTTTCGGCTGGGCCCTTGTGTTTCCTTCCACCTGTAGGTCAAGGATTCTCGTGAAAATCGAAACCAAGAGATGGTGCGTTTCCTCAACGAAATGCTTGTCTCGGAGATTGGCCGGTGCGTATAAGAAATGCTGCCACCCCCTTCTTGGCCTTGAGGCCCCTGGTCCAGTGCTGAGCGTCTTTTGCTCTTGGATCTTTAATGGCGTGATATTGGGGGCCAGCCCATTTCTCTTCTGCTTGCTCGACTCCTCTCGTCTACCCACCTCTCTTATTGGCTTCGTTTCGCTTTGTTTTGCGATGCCTCCGTTCGAGAAGATTTTACTATCAAGATGCAGGGCGACAGGCCGCCTTTAGGCCAATCAAGGTGGACGTTGTTGCCGAATGGTCCAAGACTCATGCCAATTTGATGGAACCCACCTCGCTGGGCCGGCCTCACTTCCGGTCTGTACGAAATGGACCCAACTCAGGAGCTCGTTTTATCGATCTCTTTTTTTTTTTTTTTTTTTTTTTTTTTTTTTTTCATCGTGCGTCTTGTGATACTGTTGCGTCGTTCGGGTAACCCGCTTCTGCTGGCCGCCAATATTCATAGGGCCTATCTCATTGAGGTGGTTGGCATCCGGGACGATCTCATTTTTGGCCCGCGCAGTGGCGACGGGTTTGCTGTGGTAAGCACTCATAACCAGGGTCATACATGGATGCGTGTGCAGCAACCCCTCTTTCCATGACACAGTCATCTTTCCTCATTGCTTCTGGTTTCGCGTGTCTGTGCCATGTTTCTGTGCCATGTGTCTTGTCTGTGTCTGTCTATGCTTTTTTTTTCTCGAACCAGCTTGAGACGAGTACAAACAGCATTTTTTATGACGACGAAGCAGTGGGTAAGGCGGGAGAGCGCCTCGAGGCCCTCATGCACTCAGCCACCTTGGCTCGCCGCAACATTGCCTTCCGTCCCATGGACATTTTCAGTGCTATTCAAGCAATTTCCAGCGCTGGGGGCCGCTCCGTCCTGGCTCACCCCCCGACGCTGGGCAGTTCGTGGCCCGATAAGTTTGCGCCTCGGTACGTGGCGCCAACTTGTGTCTCGGGTCTCTTACTCGAGCTGCCATGCTATTTGCTGACGTGTGCCCGTGTCTTTGATAGCGTTGAAGATTTGGCCGCCGCTGGCTTGTGGGGCATTGAAGCCTTTAGCTCTGAGATTGACGCTGACAACCATGCGCTCATTGCTGAACTGGCCAAGCGCCATCATCTGGTCATGACAGGCGGCTCAGATAATCATGGCTCGCTCAAGGTGCGTAGACTTACAATGAGCTGCATCTCCACCACGGTCCAGCTGTTTTGCCCTGCATAGACAAAGTGTCCTCAGGCATGATATTTTCCTCTTCGTTTAGATTTATGCCCGCCTGGGTGACGTTCATCGCGCCGATAGCGAGGCGTACAAGCAACTCGAGTACTGGTTTCGCACTGGCTTGAAAGCAAGCACCAAAGTGCGCACGACTGACCTGTAGAGCATTGTCCACACGATTCGACATTGGGAGATGACAGACCCGATCTTTTTGGTTCGGGCATGAATACAAGAAAAGAAAAGAAAAAGCGAAACCAATTCGACCGGGAAAGAAAACAGACAAACAAGACATTCAGGCAGCCATTTGGACAGTGTTGACATGTGCCATTCCAGGTCTGAGTGGGAGGCTTGGCCGCCGGTATTGCCAGAGATGTGCAAAAGACCGGGCACGTGAAGAAAAACACAAGGCAAAACGTTCACCCTCGACAGGTGCCGAGGATAACTCGATGGAAAAGTGAAAGAGTAAACAAGATTTTGAACGGGCCTCGGCATGGGGCGATGCCACCAAACGACACAGGATGCTAGAAGCCGTGCACAAATGCCGTTGCAGACTATGTGACAGACGCGATCAGAGATTTATTGGAGGGGGGGGGGGGGGCGGGCTGATTATTGAAACAGCTCACGCAAAGGGTAGTTGGCCACGGCTTTTGCTGCCTTGCAAGGAAGCTACTCCGCGCGCAAAGATGAAACAAAGAGTGGCAGACCCGTTAGACTAAGCCCAATTCGACGCCTTGCACGTCGGTCAAAGTCCTCTTTGACGTACGATATTCAGTCAGAAATGCCTCGATGCGTGACTTGAGATCACCAGCAAAAGCAGGAACCTGCGCGATGGAAGGGGTAGGTTGCACAAGCGTTGTATGTACCAACAAATGAGACGGGACGAGCGGGACAATGCAAGTCGAAGTTCTGTGAGCTCGCTATCAAGCGTCACCTTGTCAGGGTTGGGAGCATCGCTGAGAATGTTCTCAATTAGCACAGCGCGTGCATCCTCATCTTCCTCCATAACCTTGAATGAATGACAATGCCCACGACGAGAGATGTTTGGTGAGAAATCACAAGCAAGGTTGAGGCAGCTGCTTGCTGGGACACGCCCAAAGACGAAAGGCGGGCTGGGCAATGGTCAGGCAAACTCAAGGACAAATGTGCGGACGGGGCGGGCCAAACCTCGTCGAGGTCAATTTCGACGTCATAATCGTCACCGAAAAGTTCACTCAGCTGCTCATCCATCCAACTCTCGAGCTCGATGCGCGCACGAATGGCTTTACGATCATATTTGCCTGTTGCGATCATCTTCTCGACCCGTGCGTCACGGTCCGGGTCTGCACCAGGATGCGTGAATTGGTGTATGTGGCGGTAGATTCGCGTCAAACCATTCAGAATGAGAACCACAAGCACCAGTCAAGTTCTCGCCTTGCCAAAGACGTGCGCAGCCGGAAGAAAGAGGGGAGGCGAACGTACGAGACGACTCCGAGAACGAGACCCCGCGCTCTGGCTGAGCCATGGCTGATGTGTTGTACGAAGCGTGAAGGCAAGCCTGAAGCTTTGTGATAGGAAGATTTCTGGTATCATAGAGCGAAAGTAGTATACGACGGTGAGATAAGACCGCGGGTGTGTGCGGCGCACGCCTGGCACACTGCCGACAGAGCACCACACGGCTGAGAAACACGAGACCCCCAACGCTGGACTGAGGAGGAGGGGAGCCGCCTCTACTCCTTTCATGGTCAGGCAAGACAGCAACACCATTGGCACTGCACCCAGTCGATCAACGGAACCCAAATGAGTACGCACAGTCCTGTTATCCTCCGTCGTCGCGTCGCGCTGTGGACCAACACCGAGAGCCAAGACGCCTGAGTCGACAAGAAGAAACAGCACCAAAGGCACAAAAAGCAGAAGCAGAAGCAGAAGCAGAAAAGTCTTCAACGTGGTCACAACGAAGCGGTTAGAGGCACACAGTGTCAGCGCATCAAGAGGCAGAGATGGAGAATCTCGTCAGAGACACTGGGTGTCGAAAGATGTGGAAGCAGAGAGAATAAGCGACAAGACAGTGGGCAACAGAGAAAAGATATGCTTTCAGAGAGACATTGGAAGAGCCAAGACAAAGTCAGAGAGCGTTACAAAGCGAAGAAACAAAAGAAATGGTGTGTGTACGCTGTGGCTTTTGTTCTGACATTTGGATCGATGCTGCCATTTTCCCGTTCTGCACCTCCACCGGATCATCGTCAGCATCATCAGCAGCAGCAGCAGCAGCATCAGCATCAGCATCAGTCCGGTCCGTCCGTGGCAGTGGGACCAGAACCAACAGGCGATACGGCCACTGGAAAAAAATATGAATCGCGGATAGGGTTGGAGATTTCACTTTTTGTCCCGGTGTGGCAAGGCCTCGGCTGCTTCAGCACCGACTGTGACGCTCCAAGTTACAGGTCATCTTGATCCTAAAGAATCTGATATAGCCTTCCATCGCTGTCGAGGGGGTGACCAGTCGAGAATGGCAGCCACCAGCTCCGATGATCCGGATCGCCGGAAACAGCGTGAGATTGAGAACCTCAAGGCCATCGTCGGTGAAGAATGCTGCCGCGTTCAGCCCACCCCGCGCACAGTCTGGAATCGTGTCGCAACCTTGCTCGAGGTGAGCACGCAACCATCACGCCCTTTGCCGCCTCTACTTGGTCCGCGATGATTTGCTGCTCCGCGTGCTGACACTGGTTGGCCTTGCAGCTGGACGTTGTACCGGCAGAGATGCCCCACCACGCGAGTCTAACGCTTCAGGTCGAATTGCCCCCCGATTACCCCCACAAGATAGCACTCAACTTCAAAGTCCTCAAGACGGTACGGCCAACAACTGTCGCACCAACTTGCTGCACAAAGCCTGCCCGTGCAGAGAGATGGCCCAGTTCCGTGCCAGCAGATGGGCAAGAAAGTGCATTGCGTTTATCTCACGGTCACTGTATCCCACGTCCAGACGGGCCTTGCAGCTGATGCGGTCAAGAAGCTGGTGAATCTTGGCCGCACAGTGGCTCGCGAGCAGGCAGCTGAAGCCGAAGAAGCCATATATCCCTTGTATAGCGAGCTCCAGCAAGCTTTGACAGAGTACAACGTCGCTCCGGATCCCTCTTTTCACGAAGAGATGGTGGCGCGTCAGCTTCAAGAAGCGCAAGAGCGTCAGGTGCGTGAATTTGCCTGGCTCCAAGGGAGACCCCGAGGCAGCCAAGGGACTGGTGCTTGCACGCCAGACCAAATCCTCCCAGAGCTCTTGATCTCACTCACCCTCATCACCTCTTTCAAACTCGTGTCTACTTTAGGAACGCCTGCGTGAGCGGGAACAGGCCGAGCAGGCCGAGGCCGAAAAGTTGGCTGAGGAAATGCAACAAAAGGTATGACTGACCGCCACCCCGTTGTCCTGACGCGCCCTTTTCCAAGTCCCCAATGATACTCTCGAAGTTGCTCAGACCCGACCCGCAAACTTTGGCTCGGTACACTTAGATGAAAGCCAGCAACAAGCGCCTGGCGCAAGCTCGCAAACGCATGAACAGCGGCTCAAAAGAGCGAAGCACCACCCAAGGTATGCCGTGAATATGCAATCGCCAATCGTAACATGTTGCTCTGGTCTCACTGCGACTCTCCAAACTTCTATTTCATGAATGGCTTAGCGCTGTCAACCGCCGATGTCAACAAGATCGCGCTGGCCCAACTCGTGGAGGAAGGCCACTTCGGCCAAGCAGTGCATTTGGCCCTGCACAACAAAAGTGTTTCTGTGGTCGAGGTACGGCCAAGCCTTCAAGACCCCCTTCTTTGGTCTGATTCCTTTGTAGTTTCTTACTGCACTGTCGAGCACGAACACGAGGCACGGCCAAGCTCACTGTGTCCTGACATTCCTCCCGCACTACAAGGTCTTTGCGATTAAAACAAGTCCGGCTTTGACTCGGTGCGTTCGTTGTGGCGTCGTTCAACCTACCCATGCTTGACAAGTAAGTTCAACTCTCACGGGATGGGTTCTGGTCTGCTTTCACATGTCCATAGCCCAAAGGTAGAGGAGGCTCTCAAAAAGGTTATGCAAGTGTGCGAGACGATTATGACTCTTCACCACCCCAATATTCGACGACTACTGGGTTGCGGGTTTGCCTTTGAAGGTGCGGTCTGATGAGAGGGAGCTGTTCCATGATCAAAGGCAGACATGTGCTTTCTCCATTTTTTTTTTTTTTGAAATGTTAATTTTATTCTATTTGAGGTTGAGAGAGACACTCCCGTTATTTTTCAGGGCTTTTTTGCCTGCATCGCTTTGCGTGTGTTTACATATTCGCGTCTACCTGCGTTGAGGATCATCAGGATGCTGTCGTTGACCATGCCCTTGTCATTGTATGATCTATCAACAGAATCAGAAGCTCGCTTTCGCATGGTCTACCCTTTCTCCCCTTCTACGCCACTCCCGGCCATCTTGGAAACCCATAAGACGCTGCCTGTCGCCAAGGTTGAAGTCATGGCGCGGACTTTGGGCGCAGCACTCAAGTACATGCGTGATCATGGCATTCTACCCTCAGATACCTCCGCATCCGGCGTGGGTATGCAAGAAAATGGCACCTTCTTCTGGACCCACACGGGCACTCTCAACACCATTCGAGATATGATGCAAGGTCGTTCCCAGCAGTCCTCCCAGTGGACCGCAAAAGATGCTTGGAAAACGTTTGCCATGACCCTGCTTGAATGTCTTTTGGGGACCTCATCTGTCTGCCGCCTCGAGCTGGACAGCAAGACGAAGCTCCCCATCTTACCTCAGCACGTTCTCAACTCGCGTTTGGGCACCTTTTGCTGCGGGGTGTTATCAGCTCGTTCCGAGGACGAGATGATGGCACTGCAGTTCATTGACGATAAGGCTGAATTTTCTCGGCACTTGGCTGCTCTGGAGGCACCCGCAACCCAAAGCAAAGCTTTCAATCCCAATTCACGGTCGGTGCCGTGTCACCTCTTTGTTTTCCCAGTGTGGTTTCAGGCACTGCTTTCATTGTGCAACTCACCTCACTTTTGATATGCTGTCGACTCAGGTATCGCTCTGATTTTGAGGAAATTGAGATGCTGGGTGAGGGCGGATTTGGTTCGGTACGTGCCCACTGACTTGTTTGTCTCACTGCCTATTGCCTCCCCCCCCCCCTTTCCTATCTGTGCCCGTGCCTGTGCCTGTGCCTATACGTTTATTTGCGAGTTCTAACTCTCACTTTTTTTTTTTTTCTTTTGTGGTCTGGCTGGCCCTTGTAGGTCGTCAAGGCGCGCAATCGCCTTGATGGATCAACGTATGCCATCAAGATCATTCCTTTTGACGTTTCGTTCCCGTCTTACAGTGCCAAGGTGGTGCGTGAAGTGACCCTGTTAGGCAGTCTCAACCACCCGCACATCGTACGATACTATCAAGCCTGGACAGAGCACGAAACGAAGAAAACACGACAAAGCCAAAACAACCAGTCCACCACAGATGCAAGTACCGAGGTCTTGAGTCAACAGATCATGGACATCAAATCACCTTCGGTGGTATTTGCTGACGAGAAGACTCGTTCGCGTAGCCAGCCGCATGGTCGCTTCTTTTTCCGGGGCGGCGAAAGCTCTTCTTCAGACGAAACATCCTCGGACGAGGATGACGAATGGTCTGAAGTCCGTCGCAGCTCAGGTGATTCCAGCAGCGCCATTGAGTTTGCCAGCAGTGGAGCCGGTGGCTCCAAAAGTCTCGAGACAAGTATCGAGCAGAACACACCCGGCGACGGGTCTGAGGGCGAGGTGGAAGATGACGATGACGATGACGATGTCGATGACGATGACGATGACGATGACGATGACAAACAGACTGGCGATCACGTACTCTACATTCAGATGGAGTACTGCCCCCGTGCCTCGCTGCGCCACCTAATTCGTGATGGTAGTCTTCGCATCCAAATGATATGGCGCATTCTGCGTGAGATCCTGGACGCCCTGGCCTATATTCATCAAAACGGCATTATACATCGCGATCTCAAGCCAGAAAACATTCTCCTGGACAAGGACTTACAGGTCAAGCTGGCAGATTTTGGTCTTTCCACCGCTGTCGGGGCGGCTGTGGCATCTACCGCTGGCTCGGCCTCGACACCTCACGGACAAGGGTCGCTTTCTAGCAAGCCAAATTCGATGGGCAGCCTCCCCCCTGCAGCGGCGCATGGTCATAAGCCTGAACTGACTTCTGCCGTGGGCACAAGCCTCTATGTCGCTCCTGAGGTGGATGCGGGCTCGCGCTATGACGACAAGGCGGACATGTACAGCCTGGGCGTCACCCTTTTTGAAATGTGCTATGCGTTTGGCAGTATGCATGAACGCTACGTGGCCATTCCGGCACTTCGAGAGTCGCTCGCCTTTCCCCAAGACTTTGACAGTGAGGCGTACAAAGGGCCCAAAAAGATTGTACAAGACTTGCTGGCCCATGACCCTGCCAAGCGACCGACGGCGCAGGCTCTCCTCTTGTCATCAGATCTGCCCGCCAAGGCTGAGGACGAATTTATTCGTGAGGCGCGTAATGCGGCCTCCATGAAGGGCTCGCCTGCCTACAAGGAGATTCTTCGCACGCTCTTCAATGCCCAGGAGGGTCCGGATGTGGATTTCACCTATCTGACACACGACGTCCCCACTGCTCAGTTGGAAGCGGCCCGTGCTCGGCTCCGCCACCACTTGCTCAGCACAGCACGCCTGCACCAGCTGCGGCCCTTTCCCCTTCCCCTGCTCAACCCCAAGACAAGCCTAGTGAAACCATCAGAAACGGCCAATCTGCTGCTGGATGCCGCTGGCACTGTCGTCTATCTGCCCACATCGCATCGGGAGCGTATGGCGCGCTTTGTTGCTCGCAGCAAGATGACGCACGTGCGACGCATGGACTTTGATACCTATTACCTCGGACTGCCGACCAACGAGACGACGCATCATCCCGAGCGCCTGCGTGTGTGCAGCATCGACCTGGTGGGCCCTCAGCAACGTGCGCTTGCAGTGGAGCTAGCTGTTGTGTGTGCGCGAGTTTTTGACCAGATGCCTCGGCGCCTACCGGTGCGCCTGCTTTTGGGCCATGGCGCACTTCTAGCCGAGTTTGGGCGGCGCAAGGGTTTGTCACCTGTGCAGGCCCAACGCATGATGCGCAGTGTGCACAAGTCACTGGGCATGCGACACGGCTCACCCCGCACCCGCTTCAAAGCAGCCAAGGCTGCCCTCGCGCAGGCCCGGGTGCAAAAAGATGTCATTGAGCAGTTGCAGAGCCTGGCAAGCGTGACTACCTCTGTGAGCGCGCTTCGGGATCTATTCATGCCAGTGATTGACACGACAAGTGGTGCCGCTGGGGCGGCCTTTGAACTGCTGAGCCTTGTCGAAGCTTCGCTAAACGCCATGGGATGTCAGAGCGCGTTTGTACTTGACCCCTTGCTCACGTCCGACCAAGACGGGTGCGAAGGCTTTCAGATGCGTGTAGTTTTAAGGCCAAGTGAGACAACGGATGTTGTGGTGGGCATGGGTCAAGATTACTCGGACCTCTTGCCCGGCATGGCGCTGGGGCACAAGGCCAATGAGCTGCCCTTTGCCGTGGGGCTGGATCTAGCGCTGTCGCCCTTGGAGCGCATTTTGAGCGAACAAGAGCCCACAACCAGTGGCCATGTGGCGGATGTTCATCTGCGGATTGCTGATACCTTCCGCGGCCACAAGCATGTCCTATGGAATCTGGCTGGACAGCTGTGGCAACGGGGCGTGCCATGCACAGTAACGGTGCCGGATCCCGATGGTGAGGGTCCAGAGGTCAGCTCGGAAGCGACAGCCGTGCACACAGTCGTGGTCAAGGACTCGTCCAAGAACCCCACGGTCATGGTGCACCACGTGAGCGGCACTACGGTAGAACAAACGTGGAAAGAGGCTCTGGCAGGGCTGACAATGCACTACGCTGGGGATCCAGTCATGGGAGGCACTGCCCCGGGGTTGACAAGTGCAGGTGCCGCGAGCAACAACAACGGGGCCGCACCCGCCTCGGCCGCAGTTCAAATTGAGGTGGTGCCTACCGGCAGCCAAAAGATGTCGGCGGCTGCACGCAAGCGGCTGGCCAGCAACGCGCAGCGGTCCTGTCTCACCTTTCTCGAGCAGCTCGGGGAAAGCAGTGCGCAGCACTTGATCCTGGTGCTCGAGGTGCCGGGCAAGATCTTCGACGACGTGCTACAGCGGTGTTCCATCATGGGTGGTGAGCTTCACGCAGAGGGCCCCTTCAACCACTCGCGGTCCAAGGAAGTGTTTGAGTCACTACAACAGGCAGTCCTCCGCATCCTGCGCGCTGCCGCTGCCAAGCGCGCAGTCGTGCCGCTTGTCGTCTTCTATTGTGCAGAAACGAGCAATACCGTGCTGCTTCCCACCATCTAATTGCCAATCCCAAGGAGGGCTTTGCTTGCTTTACATACACTTTCTGTTCGTAAAAGTCTTATGTATGTCTTCACCCGTTGCGCAGCTGATAGTTGGTTTGTGTTACGGGCACGCTCGTTCAGGCCCCCTTTGTAATTGACTCGGAATAATGCTGACATTTTCCCAAGAATTTTTAGGTAATCATATTGTCGGTAAAAACAGGGGTTGAGCTATTCAAACATCCGAACAGAGCCAAGTAGGCGCCAGTTCTCTTCATCGTCTCGCAAGGAAAAAAGAAAAAAAGGGCAGCATCCCCATCGCTGCTCACTGTCGCATCGCCTGACGCCCCCGCCCCAGCTCGCGCCCTTCCCGCATTCGCCCATTGCCAGTTGTGGTGTTGACTGCCCAGAGTCCGCCGCAATGCCGTCGCAACACCAGGTGGGTGGGTGATCGGGGCTGGACGTTGGAGAAACGATGAAGCTTGTTGATGTTATCCAGTGAGCACGATTGTGCGTCGGGGCCTTGCTGCCAGCTGTCTCGCTCACTCTGCCATTTGATGGGCTTTCCTGCCCTTTCTGGTTTGTTTGTTTTTTTGCCCGCGCAGCTCGTTTCCAACCCCACGGCACCTGTCTCCTGCCATGCTTGGAACAAGGATCGCACCCGTAGGTTTATGAGGCAACAGCTTAGAGTTGGGGTGCGGAGAAAATGGGCGATGCACGCAAAACATGTTTTGTTTCACTCTAACCTGATGCTCTGCCGCGCACTGGTGTGTTTTGTAGAACTGGCGATCTCGCCCAACTCGACTGATGTTATCATCTTCAAGTTTGATGGCAAGACCTTTACGAAGGCGCATGTGCTGCAGGAGCACACGCAGAACGTGACCAGCATTGACTGGGCTCCCAATAGCAACAAGCTTGTGACTTGTGCTCAGGATCGTAACGCCTACGTGTGGGAGTTTGACGGTGCCGAGTGGAAGCCCACGCTGGTCATTCTCCGCATCAACCGCGCAGCCACCTGTGTCAAGTGGTCCCCAAACGAGGACAAGTTTGCCGTTGGCAGCGGCGCCCGTCTTGTTTCCGTCTGTCATTTTGAGGAGGACAACGACTGGTGGGTGTCCAAGCACATCAAGAAGCCCATTCGCTCCACGATTCTGAGCCTCGACTGGCATCCCAACAACTGCCTCCTGGCCGTGGGCAGCAGTGATTTTAAGTGCCGCGTATTTTGCGCTGCCATCAAGGGCGTGGATAAGAAGCCCGCCCCCACCTGCTGGGGCGCGCAGACCAAGTTTGGTGAGCTGGTCCAAGAGTTTGGCACCGGCCCCGTGGGTGGCGGCTGGATTCACGACGTTGCCTTTAGCGGCGACGGCAACCTGTTGGCCTACGTTGGTCACGACTCGAGCGTCTACGTCGCCGATGGCAACAACAGCTGCCAGGTCTCTCGCCTGATCACCCGCCAGCTGCCCTTCCGCACCGTACTGTGGGTCACCGGTCAGAGCTTCATTGCCGCTGGTCATGACTACACGCCCATGCTCTTTACCTTTGCCGGTGGCAAGCTCTCCTTTGTCGGCGATGCTGACGCACGTGAGGAAAAGGCGGCGGCCAGCAAGTTCAGCGCCCTGGACAAGTTCCGCAACCTGGACAAGCGTGGCACCGACTCCAGTGATGCTCTGCAGACTTCGGTCAAGTCAGCCCATCAAAACGCCATTCTTGAGCTCTCCATTGTAGAGGGCCAGGTGGGCAACGTGGCCAAGTTTGCCACCGTGGGTCTGGACGGCAAGGTGGTCCTCTGGACCATGGCTGACATTTCCTCGCGCTTGACGGTCGCCTAAGTTGTTTCTCGTTGCGAAGAATTTTCTCCTCCGTTTGCTTGTCTGTGTCTTGTGTCTGTGTCGTGTGTCATGTGCGACATGAAAAGACTGTGACCTTGTTTGCGACCCGCTGTGTCGCGCCGATGCGCCAGCAGCGAATTGTACGATTGTCTTAACCCTTGGATCCAACCAACTTTAGACGTTCATCGACAAGCACAAACCAAACAAAAGTGAGCTAACAGCTTCTGTCATGCGCTGCCTGACCAAGGGTCCGTCGCGTGTCGGTCGCACAAGAGAAAGATTAATAACAGTCGACTGTCGATTGGTTTGGGTCGCATTCATTTGGACATTTGTGTGACAATTTGTCGTCATCATGTCACATGTCATGTCATGTCATGTCACTTTGCTCTTGACTCTTGCCGTGTCGCCTTGGACCTAATGCGAAATCTGGCGGCGGCCCGCGCTGTCTCTGCGGGCTATCGCCGAGTGTTCGGCTTCAGTGACTGGCGCAATGGTCACCAAAATGCCAGCAGCGTACGACGCATTGTCTGAGACCGATGTGAGCCAACCATCTTCAGCGGCGATGCCGGCCGTCTCAGCCGAAGCTGGCTCCAGCGAGACGGGATCAGCCCCGCCAGCCGCCATCGACACGTTTGCACGCTTTCTCACCGTGTGGGTGCTTCTGGCCATGGCTGTGGGTGTGCTCGTTGGCTACTACGTGCCAGCCATTCCCGATGCGTTGGAGTCAGCAACCGTTGCCCAAATCTCCATCCCCATTGCCATCTTCATCTGGATTATGGTCTATCCCATGCTGCTGCAAATTGACTTGACTGCCCTCCAGCGCGTGCGGTACAACCTGAAGCCCATCCTCGTCACCACCGGCATCAACTATCTGATTCAGCCGTTCTGCATGTACGGCCTGGCCAAGCTATTCATTGACGTGGCTTTTGAAGACGTGATTAGCGATCAACTCCAGGAGGAATACGTCACCGGCGCCGTCATTCTCGGGGGATCCCCGTGCACCGCCATGGTTTTTGTCTGGTCAGCCCTCGTGAGCGGCGACGCGGCCTACACGCTGGTGCAAGTTGCCGTGAACGACATTCTCATTTTTATTCTGTACATCCCGACCATGATGCTCCTCCTGCAAGCCAGCAGCATCCCCCTCCCTTGGGGGACCGCTTTCCTGTCCTTGGCACTTTTCATGTGTGTCCCGGGTTTGGCGGCCCTGGGTACGCGAGCTCATGCTCGCCGGCATGGTGGTGATGCCTTGCTGCAGAGGATCGAGCGCGTTCTCAAGCCGTTTACCATGATTGCCCTTATCGCGGTTCTCGTCCTCATTTTTATCTTTCAGGGGCAAGCCATCGTGGACCAACCGGTCCACGTCCTGCTCATCGCCGTTCCATTGACCATTCAAACCTATTTCATCTTTGGGTTGGCGTACAGCGTGATGTGGTACCTTCGTGTGCCCTTTTGTTATGCAGCACCGGGGGCCCTCATTGCAACGTCAAACTTCTTTGAGCTGGCCGTCGCGCTTGCCATCTCTCTTGAGGGCGCCGACTCGGGTGCCACTTTGGCCACAGTCGTTGGTGTCTTGGAAGAGGTTCCCATCATGCTTTCCCTCGTCTGGCTATGCAATCGCACACAGCACTGGTTTCCGGAGGCACCCAAGGACACCCCGCTCTCCGCTGCCCAGCTGGACGTGGAGATGGCAGAGCAGCAAAACCAAGAGCCCAGCACAGAGCCTCGCAAGGTGCCCGTTACCGTCCTCTGCGCATGAAGGACAGGCATGTGTGCATTTGCACAAGATCAAGTCAAACAGCTTCCAGACACATGCTTCCGATTATGAACACTTGATGCGACAGCAATATCAGTTCTGAGTTCCGTGGCGTGTCAGTTACTCGCCAAGTTAGCGCAGAGTTTGCGCGCGCCACAGTTGATTGTCAATAAAGATGAATGAAACAATCGAATAAAAACCAACAAATTTTTCTCGCGCAACGGAGTCTACTTGACGTCATGGCCATCTGGCGATACAGAGCTTCCGTGGCCAAATGTTGGTTCCAGCACCCATCTTGTATGCGCAGTGTGCACCATTTTCTAGGTGACAGATCGTCAATTATGGCTACCAGGGCGGACAGAAACATGCTAACAGAAAGAACCACGGCGAGCCACATGGCAACGGAGCAGCCGCCCAATGAGCGACGAAAGGCTGCCAACATCACACAAGTATATTGGCCGCCCAAGCCAACTGCCAAACTTTTAATGAGCAGTATCTGGACACACACAACACTCAAACATTCACACAGCCCGACGAACCCATCGGCCAACCATCGAGCCGACGATTCGGACCCCGAGGAAGCACACCGCACCGGCGTGCGTTCCTCGACGTTCATGCACTCAAACGCGGAGCAGCTCCAACACGTTGTCGTGATTAATGGCAATCCACTCAGGAAAGGACTCGCACCATTGCACATTGTTGATGTTGCCATCGGCGTCATAGGCCAGGATGGGATCGGGATCCTTGCGAGGAATACCTCCAATGTCCCAGATGATGGCCTTGTTGTCATCCCCAGCCGTACAGATGTGACAGGCTGAATGTGGCGCCCACGACATGCCGTTGATGGCTGCGGTATGACATGAGAGCGTGGCCGTCGCCACGCAAGGCATGCGAATGTCCACCAGCACAACCTCACGCGAATCCATCTTTAACACCTGAGTTGCACGGGAGGTGGGGAAACAGGGAGGATGAGTTCGCGTGACACGCTCAACTTTCAACCCAACGGTTTCCGGTGGCCCCATGAGGCGTGCAGCAACTTTTTGATCAGAGTACCCGGCACTGCGGGGCTGACAACGAAGGACTTACAGTGAGAAAGTTTGCATCTTGTTTGTTCCAACCAAGCCGCAAAAGGGCCGTTTGCTGCGGATCTTCATAGATAATGGTGGAATGATCCAAACTGCGCAAGTCAAAGAGGCGCACCGACCCATCGGCACCCACGGTTGAAAAGACCTCCCGATTCTGGCTACTAAAAGCCACGTCGTAGACTTCTTGGTCGTGGGCAATGAGTTGAGTGGTTGCATCGCCACTGGCGCGGCCAACATCCTTCTCGGCGCGGATGTCCCAAACCGTGCAGGTAGTGTCGATGGAAGAGGTCACGATACGGTTTGGGTCCACCGTGCTCCAGTCAAAGGACGTGAGCGGTGCACAAAATTCTGAAGTTTTGTTCTGCGCCCGTTTCCGCCGAAAAATGAGCCCGAGCCGCTTGTCGCAAGGGGGAAAAAAACAAGCAAAAAGGAAAGCGGCACCACCACATACATTGTTCAGAAGGCATTCCATGCTAGTCAAGTTTTCCTCGACGCGCCAAATGCGTAGGTAGTCGCCCGTGGTCGCCAAGAGATCAGGACGAGTGTCATCAGGGTCAGGGAGCCATGCGATTTTGGTCGCTGGATAAGGATGATCGACGGTACTGTGCACTTGGATGGTGGAGGAGTCTGGATGACGCGTGACAATTTGAATCTGCTCAAACAGTGTTTAGAATACCGTGAGACAACGCCCGATAAGAATTTTGTCCCCGTGCGGCTTCCGTTCAGGCCGCACGGGATGAATGTCGCTAAACCCGATACCGGGTTGTGAATCGAGCGCACCTTGTTGCAGTAATCTTCGACAAAAGAGCCGATGGCAAGTCGGTAGTGTTTGTTCTTTTTCTGCGACCAAGCAGAGCTATAGATGGGCCAGGGTGCCTTGTACTGGTACTGCTCGGGTGTGGTATCCGCAGACATGGTGAGTGGTGCGGAGAACCGCGACACACAATAGGCAACAAACTGGCAAAGGTAGTCTGCTGGAAAAAAAAAAAAAAAAATCTTAAAAAACAAAAAAAAAAAGTAGATGAGTTATCAGGGGTTCTAGTATCTAGTGGCAGAGCCGTCGTGCGCACATTCTCACCGTGCAAGCGTTGGGCGCGCACGCGGCTGGAACGACCAGCGAGGAAGCCCTGCCGTTGACCAGGTCACAAGACGTTTGGAAACCTCAATGTTTCCACGTCAAGAAGCAAAGACGCAAATAGCTCGCGTCTGGCTCACAGTACCGTCGCTGGATCGACCGGCAACACGGCAACACCCGTGTAGGTACCCCCCAGCGCACGGGCCGATCAGCTGCGCCAGCACAATGGCCGCCGCCAAAAACTTGTTTTTCAGTGATGCGTCAAGCTGTGAGGCAGTTGCTTTTAATGGTATGCGCGATTGGCTTGCAGTTGCGTCTTTCTCTTTGGTCCGGTTATCACAAAATAACAACACAAAGGAGAACCCATCAAATGAAAGTCAGACGCGTTTGTAGCAAAAACAGAGAAAAACAAAAAGAAGGAAACAGGCTTTTCGCGCCAAGATTCAAAAATGCTATTATAGTGGATGCAAGCCAGCATCTTTTGGTCGGCTCTGGCGGTCGGCCGCAGCGTGTGCCGCAACGGGGCTCAGACCGGGACAGAAACGGCCAGATTTGCTTGGCACGGCTTCTTATTTGGCAAAAAAGGCTTGACCAGAAAGCAATGGGTTTGGGTAACGCACGAGGCTGACAATGAGCTCGGCCACCGCCTCGGGTGACAGGCAGTCAGCACGGGCCTGAGGGCGGGCGAGGGCAAGAAGAATGGGCCGCGCACATGAGCCCTGCGTAGCTGCTTTTGTAAAGATGATGCCGCATGATCAAGCATTCAAAAGCCCTTGTCCATCCAGAGTTTCCACTTTGGTGACCCACCTCGTAAGGAAACATGGATGTCCGCATATCCGTATACGTGCGGCGGGGTACCACGCAATAGCAGAGAATGTTGCTCATCCGGCCCTCCAATGCCAATGTTTCAGTCAGACAGTGCACACCTGCTTTCGCTGCTGCATACGCCCCCTGATCCAGTCGACCACCCACGGCAGAGCTCGACCCCAGATTGATAATGACACCACCACCTGCCTGTTCCGACATGACTGGAGGGTGAAGCAAGGCAGCGAGCCGAGTCAGAACCCAAGAAAGTCTGAACACCCGCCCTGATGCATGCACATGAGTACACACCTCGAAAAGCAGCACGGCTTGAGAAGAACACACTCGACAAGTTGCCGTGCAGCATGCGGTTCCACGTTTCATCGTCCTGTGTCCCCAGAGGATCGGCCCACCACCGGTGAGGGTGTGGAAAAGTTAGCCAGGCTACGCGGCCTCCACGTTTGTATAAAAACGAATCACCAGACCGTATCGGCAAGAGAAGACAGTGCCACAAAGCCTGCCGAATTGATGACCACGTCGATGCGTGATGCTTTTGCAAGCACCTGTTTGGTGATGCACCCAGCCCAGCGATAGCGGCTCATGAGCCTGTTTAGCCACCGACGCCCAACGCACAGCCTGTCACCAACGTCTTGAAGCAGAAGCGGGCAAGCACCTGATCGTAGACCAGCTGAAGAGTGGCTGAAGTGGAGGCATCGCCAGGCACCGGCGTCGCGCCGATCGCAGCACAGGCTGCACGCAGCTCGGCAGCGCCCCGCGCGCAAGCAAACACCTTGATGACAAAAAAAACACCCAGGTTTTAAAACAGGATGAACAGAATCACCGCTTGCGTTGTCATCGAGGAGTATCAAGCTTGCCATAGCCGTTTAACAGAGCTGGCCGGTTCTGACCTCGTAGCCTCGATCCCGCAACTGCTTTGCCACCGCCAAACCAATCCCTCGCGAGGCACCAACCACCAGCGCGTTCTGGATTTGACATGGCCACAAAGACGCTGCAAGTCAGAATTCTCCGCCGGATCTGGGCAAGGATGTCTGTCCAAAAAACAAAAAAAGGGCGGGGGGGAAGCAGATGAAGGTGCGGGTTGGCCACATACCTTTCGCTGCCCTTCCTTGATCATGGCTTCGGCCGCATAGAGATCGTGCTTGTAAGTCACCTGCGCAACCGGTGAAACATTGCATGTGTCCAATCAAGGGCCGTTGCAGCATGCAAACAGGCTCATCAATTGGTGGTGATGGGCAAAAACGCACACCCACACAAATCAAAAATGAAAACATGTTTGCCCTGCAAGACCGCGCCCGATCACCGTACCTTCCAGACGTTGGGACGCACATCAACTAGCTTCGCACTGCACCCAGCATACCGCTGCGCAAGCTGCAAAACCTCCGTACCATGATCGAAATCCTCTGCCGAGCAGCTGGCATAAGCCGCCTCCAAAATCGAGCGCTGAAAGGCCTTTGGTCCGTGTTGTGTGTGGAAGACATTGTGGGCGTCACCGTGAGAAAGCCGAGGAAGTTGAAGGTCAAGGCAATGGTCACTGGCCTTCAGAAATACCAAGCGCAAACAGGGCTGCCAAGACTACGCGGCTGTGGCTACGCCAGCGGGCGCTGTACAGAAGGTCGAGATGGCTTACCTGGGGCGTTTGACTTGCAAGATACTCCGACCTGGTGAGCACGTGATCCAGAAAGCCATCCGCAGAGGGCTTGACGACAGTAGACACGAGAGGAAGTGTGCAGCCGGCTGTGGTTGGTTTGCAAGATTTTACAAGAGAGCGCGATGAGTGCACGGCAAAAAGGTATGCAACAGAAATGGACGTGGCACCGGCTGGAGCCAGAGCAAAAGCATATCGAGGATGATGCTTGAATGGATAGACTGGGCCCACTGCTCCCAGCTGACCTGCTCCATATTCGGCTGCTGCTTCAACAACGGCTTCAAGATCTGACGGCAGAACAAAGGGCCGGACCATGTCATGCACCAGGACCAGTGTCGTGGTCGGCCTCAGTGCTTTGAGACCGTTGGCAATGGAGCTGCTCGGTGCAATCCCATGACATGCCAGCACGAACCCCGTTTGAAATGCGTGGGATGAGCATCACAGCTGCCAGAAGAGCGCGATCACACAGCACATCAGCACACGTACCGATGTCTAGTATCACCACCGACGACGAGTCGGGTTTTGACAAATCCCCAGGTCTGAAGCCAGACACGCATATCAGCCATCATGTCCTGACTGACTGGCACAATGACATCGTGCAGCCATGCGACGCTCTCCATTGTTCGTAGCGTGTAGTATAGGAGTGGTCGTCCTTCAATCATCCAAAACTAACATACAAGATGGGCAAAGGGCCTGTCAGACCGTCTGCATGCAGATTCTTCGCCCCTGCCCAGCAGCTACAGCTGCAGGTCCCTTCTGCAAGACACGCGCAGCACGATGTGACGACAAACCTGCTTGGCCGTGCTCGCACCCGTGCGACTTCCCGTGCCCGAGGCCGGTAGAATGGCAGCCACCTGCCGTTGATCTTGGTCCGCCATGACTATTACTATGCTCGTGGCAAGCATGCACCCGCTCACACACTTGTCTCACGGCCCACTCAGAATCCTGCGAGCTAGAGCGGCGGTCCAAAGTCAAATGGTACCCCATCAATCACCCTGCCTGTGAGCAGTGTCCGCACCGCCTCATCATGCATGCATGTACACATTTCTGCTCTCTTTTTCCAGCACCATCACTTCTTTCGCCAATTTGGTTTTTTTTTCGTTCTCTCGACTCTTCTTGTGTCTGTTTTGGCACCCGAACGGCGGCGCGCTGTAGGGGATGTGGGGGCCGCAGACAAGCAGATAACAGCAGGATGGGCCGATCCCGTGCTGGGTGGCGCCAGCCCTGGGTTGTGTTGGCTGGCGCTCTTGTCTCCTGCTGCCTCGTTACGTTTGTGGTGAGTGTTCAAAGTTTGTTGCTTGCAACGACCTGCCTGAACTTGCCAGCACGCTTTCACCTGACAATACCCGTGTGAGCAGCTCTACGGCATGACCTCCAGCAACGGGCCCGTTGTCCAGCATGCAGCGCGGCAAGAGCCAATGGCCAAGATCAAACCCACCTGTACACCTCAAGAACTCGTTTGCCTTGACGGATCCTTGGCCCGAACCAGCAGTTCGTTGTCCGCCCAGCCCGTTCCGCAGCCTGGGAGTGCATGAAAACACAACATGGTGGCGGCTCTCACCGACGCTCGACCAAATGATCATTCGACATCATCATGTCACATTTACAGATGGTTCATGTCGCCTGGCTTGCCATGCCAACAATACTTACCCGATTCAGGCGCGCATTATATGGAATGCCCCGGTGCATGTACGTGGCTATCGCAATCACGTGGTATTAACTTAATCCCAGATGCGACACTCAGACTCTGAGCGGAGCGATACACTGTGACTTGTGAGCATGATGGAATGTCCGGCATCTGCACTCGCTGCTGACGGAAACTCCTGCAGTCATGGACAGGCATCGCCTCTGAGGCCGTTGACTTTCTTGTGCCACTGGCCAAGCGCATCCCTTTACTTGGTCTTACCGGTTAGTCAAAAGCACGGCGTCATGGCTCGGTTCAAAGGGTTCAGCTCTTTGCTGGAATAAGGCTGACGGCAGCGCTGGTGTCCGTATGTCTAGGTGGCTACACGGCCGAATTTGTCCACGATCTGCCCAAACGTGATCAAGCCATGCTGGAAGCCCTTCGGGTAGACAGCCGCTCGCACCAATCCACCTCAACCTGAACCCTGATTGCTCGTTCTGATCTCGCGCTCATGTTGTGATCACTATACGCACCCGTAGCAAAGCTATTTGGACCATCATGGTGCCCGCGTGCAACGCACGATGCGGAATCTGCCAGAGGAGCGCATCACCATCTTTATCACGCAGTATGATCCCGCCACTTACCACGACGACCTTCAGCGGTGCGTGGTGGTGCAACATCTCCATTTGCGCTCCATAGGACGTGCCCCGAGTTTGTCGAGACTTCCGCCCGCGTACACCGGCGCCTTGTCACTTGTACAATGTACCCGATGCTCTTAGGTATGAAGCGGACCACCCACACTACTCAATCGGACGAGCCATGTTCGAGACAACCTCCTTGCCTCCAAACTGGGTTGTATGTTGTTGCAGCCCGACTCGAACATGTGAGCCCTCATCTTGTTCGGTCCAACCTGACAGGCTTGGCTCTGTTTTGTTTTGTTTTGTTTTTTCCTTTGGTCTGGCACACCCTGCATTCTCTAGACTGGCATAAAGCTCGTGGACGAGGTGTGGGTCCCTTCGCAATGGGGACGCAATGTATTTATTCGTGAGGGTGTGCCTGCGCACAAAGTCGTGGTGGTGCCTGGTAAGACGCCGATCATGCCGCCCTGTCTGTGAAATTCAACCCGATGTCACTGCTCATGGCACGTGATGCTTGGTCCGGTTGCCATCCATGAGAGCAGAGGCCGTGGATACGGACACCTTTGACCCAGCCAAGACCCGGGCCAAGCCTCAGCTGCTGCCTGAAAGTGATGGCCGCTTCACTTTTTTGAGCATCTTTAAATGGGAAGATCGGAAGGTGCTGTGCATGGCTCAAGCGCACACGCGCAGGCACACGCCCGTACAATGTTTTCAAGTCCACGGGGGCGCTCACGGAAAGCCTCGTTTGTGCCGCTTCAGGGCTGGGACATTCTTATCGAAGCCTTCCTGCGCGAGTTTTCGCATGACGACAATGTGGCTTTGTACATCCGATCGGGCCGTGACAAAGATCGCCCCGAGGTTTGTGCACACCGGTGGGATGTGTATAATCTGGATAGCAAGCCCTGAAGGGACTGATTTGAATTTTTCTTTTTTGTTGATCGTAGCGGGATGTGCTTGAGTTGATGCGCCGCGTCAACCCACGCAGCCCGCCGCCCATAACTTGGATCCCTCCAGTCGCGACGGCAGACTATGCAGCGCTGTACAAAACTGCCAATGCCTTTGTTCTACCCACCCACGCCGAGGGCTATGGTCGTCCCGTTTTAGAGGCCATGGCGATGGGTCTACCCACCATCGTGACAAATTGGTACATGATGACCGCCTCTGCTGAGAACGTTTTCCAACTTGCCCACCCTTGTTAGCATTTTGCTCGTGACTTGCACCTCATGAAATCTCGATCTACCTCGCCTCATTCGCAGGTCTGGCATCACTGAGTTTACTTCTGCAAGCACAGCCTACCTGATTCCCGTTCATGGTCTCGAAAAGGCTTTCCCTCGAGAACCTCAGATTACAGGCTGGGATTTTGAAGGGCGACACCAGTAAGTAGGCGCAATGTCAGCACCACCCAAAGAAGTTGGTGGTGCATCAGCGCTTCCTGTTCCTGTTGGTTTGCACTTTGACGCGCTCGCGATGAGGGCCAACTGAAGCCTGTTCGTTCATGATTTTTAAACTCATCAATTACTTCTCACTGCAACTCAATCTGTTGACTTTATTGTTACACACCAAATATAGATGGGCCTCAATCAACGTCTCAGACGTTCAGAGACTAATGCGGGAGGTCTATGCACAGCCTCACGCCGCGCGCCGAACGGGTCTAAGAGCAAAAGCCCATGTACGACGCCATTACTCGCGCGATGCTTTGGCAGACCAAGTTCAAGCCCAGCTACTCCGGATTCAGCGTCAACTGGCAGACACTAGCCTTGCCAAGGTAGCCAATGGGCTTGACTTGCTCGATTAAGTTGCCATCATCGTCCCCCAACGATCCAAATGGCGGCGAGCAGCCGCTAGTGCTGTTGCCTCATCCACAGCAGCCACGTCGCCTGGTCGTCTAAATGAGGCAGCGCGCAAACACGTTCTCGAGTTTAAAGCATAGCTAGCCGTCGCCGAGCGCCGGTGCCAAGTCGACCCCAACCCCTCCTTTCTCAGTTGACTCTCTTTTTTTTTTTTTTTTTTCTTTGGTTTAACCTTTTTTTGACTTTTCTTTTTCAACTTTCACGGTACACTCTGCATCACCGCGGATCCCTGCGCCAAGCGCATTCACGCTACCCTCACAGCAGAGCAGAGCCCAAACATGTCTTACCCGAAGGGACCGTCACGATCGGATTCGGTTGGGGGTGGAGTTGCGACCTCCGCTGCACCATGCGAACGCATCGCGTCACGACGCAAGCCAAGCAGCTCAGATTGTGCCTCCTATTGCATCAATGCGCACGCGAATCTCAGTGGCAGGAAGCAAGAATACACATTGTGTGTAGGTAGCATCACCACTCGTGACCATCAAACCTCTTGAACATCGTGTCTCGCGATCCGAGAGCAATGCGAAGCGCAATGCTCACACTGACACGTACCTTGAGGCGCTGTTCACGCTCCACAAGCAAGGCCCGCTGCTGTGCAGCTTGCTGCAATGCCAAACGTGCGTCCTGGCATGTCACCCACCACCAAATTTGAGTCAAAGCTTGCCAGAGTGATTTGCTTCGTTGCTATCTACAGTCGTACCTCTTGCTGCTCGGCAGCCTGATGTTGGGCCTCTTGCACCTTGCGATACAGAGCCTGCACCTCCTTGGCCTTGCTTTCCGTCTACCCATTCCGTTGCAAGAGCAAAGACATGCAAAATGATAAAAATGCGCTGGGCCCTCCAGTGCTAAATTGACACCCACCCACCCACCTCCCGTGCAACCTGAAGCAAGGCTCGTTGCTCCTGCTCCATGGCCCGGCGCTTGCGCTTGAGATGCTCCTTGTACTTGTCCAGTTGAGTCTAAAAAGGAAGTGACCAGTCTGAGAGCACTGATGCCATGAGAAAGCAATGTGGCCCAACATCCGCACCTCGTCTGCCTGTAATTTGGCTTTGCGAGTCGCTAAACTTGTCAGCTCGTCCTGGGCTCGTTGCAAGGCCGACTGCACCTCCTCACTGCTCTCACCCAGCTAGGCACAATGGCAATCGAAGGCGGGATGGAACAAGCAGAGTAAGCCTTTGGAAGGGTCTCAAATGTACGAAAGAACAAGTCTCGCGCAAGCCTCTTTGCCTTGTCTGTTTTGAGCCGCTCGCGCAATAGGAGGTCACGCTTCTCTTGCTTCAGCTGCGCCTTTTCGAGGTAAAGTTCGCGGCGCATCTCATTAATCTCTTGCAGTTGCTTGTGACGATCTGCAGCCATTTCACGACGCTGAAGACAGGTCAAAAAGGAAAATCCATAACCATATCGTCGACAAGGAGCAATACGTGCAGAAGGTGAGCGCGCGCTGGTTAATTTACAACGCAACACCCAAATCCGAGCGTGCCGTGGTAACGAGCAAACGGCATCCCATTGGTGTGGGGATGCAACCCCTGCCTACCAATTCGTCAATTGAGGCACGTTCAGCAGCTTGCATCTCCGCAAGAAGCTGACGCTCTTGCTGCATGGTCTCTTGCTGCATCAAAGTCCTGGTCGTGCCAAGATTGGAACTCTTGTTGAGCACTCACACACCGCAAAGCAATAGATAGCACAAGGCATGATATGAACCTTGAGAAGATGAGGAAAACTCACTTTTGTTGCCACTCCTGCTGTTCGCGGATTCGATTCTCCTGCAGACGCCGCTGCTCCAGGGCCGTCAGTTCTTGCTCGGCCTTTTGCCGTAACAGGTCTTGCCGCAGCTGTTTTGCAAGGAACGTTGGGGCAAGACCCAATTGAGGCATTGACCGTTTTAAAGTCTTCACCACAACCCAATGCCCAGCGGAGTTTGGCAAGAGCAATAGAAAACAAGGGCTAGGCTGCCTGACCTGGTCTAGCTCTGCTCGCCCGCGGCGGAGTTCTTCGAGCTGCTCCTGGACATACTATCCCCGTCCCCGCCCCCCACATTGAAATGACCGGTTGCGATACAGCGGGAGGAATGCAAACCCAGTCTCTTGTATCTTTCCAACGTGACTAACCTCCTCTCGAGTCGTCAACTGAGCAAGCTTGTACTTGAGATCTTCATGGTGTGAACTGCTAGCCTCGGCCTGGAGGCTTGCCAGCTCCTGCGATGAGGCTTGCAGCTATGCCAACATCAAAGAGGAGAACAGAAACGAGGTTCCAATGCAAAGTAAGAGCATCTGCGCCGTCTGCGGCTTGGCAAGGCCAGGCAGGAACGTTGCGCCTACCGACTGCGTAAGCTCGGCAATTATACCGGCTTGGTCTTTTGCATTTTGGAAAGCCCGAAGCTCAATTTGGTGAGCTGCATGCAATTGCTCCAGCTCGTGTTGATGGTCGTTTCGCAACTGCTGTGTTGTGGTGGCATGAGCAGTCCTAACTTCGCGCAACATTGCCTAAGGTGATGCACACCGAACATTTTTGTAAAAGCAGAGGTAGGCCGGTCGGAATGTAGCGGCGTCAAGAAAAGCGGGCCGATGCACTTTGCTCTTGTGGCGCCAAGACGATGCGGGAGCTGAATCTATGTTTACACATCAGTCAGCTCGTTTCTCACCTCATAATGGGCTTTAGTGTCGTCAAGCATCTGCTGACTGCGCGCTGCTTGGAGCTCCAGTCGTTGCTCCCATTCGCTGTTGACCTATGCGTGCGCAAATGACATCTCAGCAACGCATCTCATTAACCGTAAAATCACCTTTGCGGCGGCACGCTCAGCAACACACCCGAGCTTGCTGGGCACGATGAGTGTCCGAGAGTTCTTCAAGCTTGCTTTGCAGCTGACTGTCAAAGGCCTGTACTCGTGCTTGCAACGAGGACACAAGGTGGTCGCGACTCTCTGCATCTGTTTGCGCCAGCTGCTGCGAGTTTTGCAAGGCAGCCTGGGCATTTTCACGAGCCGTATTGGCTGCGGTGAGCTGCGATTGAAGGTCAATCACCTCGGCACGCAACCGTTCTGTTTCAGCCGATAAAGCTGTGCGTTCGGTTTGAGTATGCTGTAGTTCTGTTTGGTAGCGGAGGCGTTCAGTCTCAGCTGCCGCGAGCTGACGCTGAAGTTCCGCGACCTGTGCAGTCAGGGCCTGATTCTGAGCCTGAAACTGTGGAGAATGAGCTGCCACGGAGTCCAGTTTGTTTTGGCCAGCGAGGTGAGGGTTGGGCAGGAGTTGCGCAGATGGCCCCAGAGTGCGCTGATTAGGTTGCACTCCTGTTGAATCGCGCTCAAAGGTGAAGGGGAAGGCCGTGGTAGCAGTAGCAGAAGGAGTGCCTGGCCCAGCACCAGGGCTTTTTGGTGCGACTGGACGATTTCGGGTTGATAGCAGGGGACTGGTTGGGACAGGATTGGAGCTTGCAGGTAGAGCAGATGTGGGCTTGGACGAGCCAAATGAGTCAAAGAAGTCGAGCGCGCTGGCACCACGCGATTGGGAAGCCAGAGGCGGCGTGGGCTGGTTGGAGCGCCCTGAAGCTGTTCGGGGCCGTTCACGGACCGCCGGTGGGTGAGCGGGATCATTGCGCTGAGCTTCACTAGGAACGTCGGCAGCTGGGGGAGCGCGGGCGGTCCGTGCACCGAGCGTCGAGTCTGCTCGCGTTGCAGCAGTGCTTTCGGCCGCCCACGTAGGGCTGATGGGAGGCACATCATTGCCCGCAGATCGGGGTTGGGGCTGCTGTATCCCAATGCCGCTCGAAGATTCACGAGGCCTGGGGATTTCGACTGGCCCCGTATCGGCACCCCAATCGTCATCGTCATCCTCATCTAGCTGGGCACGGTGCTGAATACCAGCCTTTTTGGTCTCGGCTTGGCTCTTTAACATATCACGAGGAGGATCAGGTACCGGTTGCTTGGCGCTATTGCGGCTGCTGGCGGAGCGTCCGTTGGCATCGGCACCATCAGAGAGATCCCAACTGTCATCAAGCTCGAGGCCCTCACTATCGGGACCATCGTTTCTGCCCAAATTGGGATTGGCCGAAGTTTGGAACGAGACGTGGTTGCGAGCAGGGGCAGACTCAGAAGAATCCTTGCCACGCGCAGCACCCCGGCCTCCATTGGTGCCCGATGGGGTGGGCTTGGCGCCACTGGATGTGGGTGCGGCGGCTTTCTTGGCGGTAGGTGTCACCCCAATGGAAGCAAATAGCTCGGCATCCAGGTCCTCGGCGTCTGGCTGAGTCTGGAGTTTGACCAAATCGGCCGAGGAAGAAGCGAGGCGGCAACACACTTGTCAAGCGGCTGCTAGTTATTTCAAATTGAATGGATGCAATCGGAGCACAGTCCGCCGAGGCACGTTTGACACGAGACTCACCCAGTGTGCGCCAGGACTCGTGGGGGCTGAAGAGAGAGCGCTTTGGTCGTTGCTATCAAACTGAGCACACACAAACATACACACGGATCACAGAAGTCAGATCGCCTCGGCTGCAACATATGTATGCGATGAGAGAAGCGCCCGCCTTGACGCACATCAAAATCATCGAGCGCTTTCTCCATGTCGGCATAAAAGCTGTCTGCCGCAGGTTTGCTGGCTGCGGGCTTCTTGGCAGTTCCACCGCCGACCGGCCCTTGGCGGCGAGGCGCTTGCAAATCGCCTGAGGGTTGGGAGACAAATTCGGCGCATGAAGCAACTGGCCGGCAAGTCAGGCTGGCAGTTCCAATGTATTTTCATCAAACTGACCTTCATCACTCAGAAGAGAAGAAAGGGCCTTGTCCAGGACAAAGCCGCTTACTTTGCCCCGCCTGGCCATGCTCCCGTTGACCCTAAAGATGCAGCCACCCCGAAACGAGCAGGAGCCCCAGCAACGATTGATGGAAAAGCAAAAAAAAAAAAAATTTGTTGGTCCAATTTTTTTTCGAAAAATAATTTTTCGCTTTGTCTGACATTATCCCAGCATTTTACTTCTTCCGAGTGTGTTCAGAACCAAGTTTGTGTTGAAGTCAATCGGTGATTCACTGACTCGCACTCGATGGCTCGGGGCTCTGGCAGAGCGCCTCGTCCTTACCGGCATGGTGGATGGACCGGGGTGCCTTTTTTTTTTTGGATCAGCTTGCCTCGATGCGATGCTAACGTGGTTACAAATGTTTTGCTTGATCTAGAAACCCAAACCTTTCAACCATCATCATGTCGACGCCAGTCTTGTATTCGTACTTTCGATCCTCGTGCTCCTTTCGCGTGCGCATTGGTGAGCAGCGGGGAAGAGACAGCCCTAGGGGGGACAGCCCAATGTGATTACGTGCCATCAATCTGTGCCTGGCATTGTGACTTTGCCTCGGATGGTTGATGTGACACCAAACCAAACGACAGTTGCTTTGCTGCGTGCTGTCGTCTGTCAGCCGTTTGATCTTTTGGGAAGCTTGGGACTCGCGCCGGAATTGCTCACGATGTCTTGCTCGTTAGCACTGAATCTGAAGGAAATCCCTTTTGAATACAAGCCCATCAATTTGCTCAAAGGGGAACAGGTCAGCAACGAACCCCGGTCCGCAATGTAAAGGCCACGTAGCTTCCGCCTCCCTCGCCCAGCAGGTAGCCATGTTGCTCAAGCATGTTTCCATGGACAATGTATCTCTGCATTAGCGTGGCGAGGAATATCTGGCCGTCAACCCCATGGGTGAAGTTCCCGCTCTGCAGATTGACAGTAACCTGCTCACCCAGTCGGTATGTCAATCGTGTGCTCACTTTTTGAAGTTTCAAGGGTGGCGGATCTACACTGCCAGTCGTGGAACCTTCGTGCATGTGCAGTCCTGCTCGATCCCTCTCACTCTTGCTATGGGATGCCTGGCGTGTACACAGGTGAGCATCATGGAGTATCTTGAAGAAACGCGGCCCGAAATTCCAATTTTGCCCCGTGATCCCGTGCTCCGGGCCAAGGCAAGTCGTGCTGTGTTGCTATGCATCTCGGCTGTGAATATCCGCCCGAGCCAACCCCTGATGGATTGAACCCAGATCAGCTTCTCCGCTGATCTGCAAGGCCTGCACCCAAAGGCGTTTCTTGAATCGGGCAACTCGTATGGACAAGGGGAGAAAAGCTTAAGTCGCGCGGTGTGTACCTCATAGGTCCGCATGTTGACGGAGATCATTACCTCTGGCATCCAGCCGGTGCAGGTACGGTTTGAGCACCCAAGACTCGAGGGCATTCTTTTGATATCCTGAGACGGGGATGCCCTTGTCATGCCTGGTTACATCGCGCCCTTGCATAGAATCTGCGCGTCTTGCGCAAGCATGGCTTAGAGCACAAAATGGAATGGGGCAAGTGGGCCATCACGCACGGATTTGATGGTATGTTTTGTTGCAGCTTGCAGCTTGCCTGCTCGTTTCAGCCCTGCACAGGGCTCAATTTTGCGATTCCACTCACTATCGACGGGCCCTCAGCCTTTGAGCTCCTCGTGTCCAAGACCGCTGGCAAATATTGCGTGGGTGATGAGGTAACGTGGCCTGCAGGTGCTGCGTACGTGACGGCGCGCAAGTTGGCGTACAGTCCGACCTGACGCGCACATTGCATTTTTAGATTACCATGGCCGATATTTGCCTGGTCCCACAAGTCTTCAACGCTGAGCGGTATGCACCATGACTTGGGGGGGGTGGGGGGGCGCAAAGGGCTCTAAGCATCGCTGTTGAATACCAAACACACCCGCTGTTGACCTGCCATGGTGGAACTGGCCATGATGTTTTGTTTGTTTGTTTTCCACCAACCATCCATAGCTTTGACGTGGACATGAAAAAGTATCCAACCATCACCCGGATCCACCAGGCTCTTGCGGAGCACCCGGCCTTTGTCAAAGCTGCCCCAGCGGCCCAGCCCGATTGTCCGGACGAACTCAAGGCGGATGCCACCAAGTAAAATGACCAGACATCAACCCGTCACTTTTTGTTGACAAATTTTGAATAATCCAATCAGTTGAATCAGTCTGACATTAGAGTGGCCAAACCGTCTGACATCGATGATGACGTACAGGATTGCTTGCGCCAACTGTTGGCTGACCAATGAGGGCAAAAACAATCGAGTTTCCACCAAGACTTGAATAGTTTTGGTCGAATTTTTTAGCTCGGCTTATAGCATTTCTTATCAAAAGTAGCCGCCCCTTTGCCCTGCACCAAGGACCAAAGTCAGACCAAAAGAACAAAGACAAAAGGTTTGAGTGGTCAAAAGGAAACATCGCCGTTCAAAGCCTGAACACCTTGAGGGGTGATTCAGCAACAAAGCCAGCACTGCCATTTGGCTTCGATCACTACCAGCTTCAACTCCCTCCCGACGTCAACCTTCCATCATGTCTTGGCAAACGTACATTGATCAGAGCCTCCTTGGCTCGGGCCACGTCTCCAAGGCTGCCATTCACGGCCACGACGGCAACCCCTGGGCCACCTCGGCTGGCTTCAACGTAGGTAGCTAGTTCACTTTGCCACCGCGCTGCCACTTGGCACTCTCTTTGTTTCCATGCCACTGGCACAAACGCAACACCTGAAGCTTGATACGCCAGATCATGGTGCAAGCACACACATTCCTGCGCAACACGTCAACACTGCAATGCTACCAACTTGTCTGACGCCCAGTGGGGTTGATGTACACGACTGAGTGCCGTGTGCGGGACACCGCCCAACGGCTGCCGTATGGTTGTGTTTGTCTGTTGAATTGTTTGTCTGTTGAGGGGATGACAAGCTCTTTGTCAGTTCGGCTCGAGCGGTCCTTGCTATTTTGATGTGAGCTCAAGTCTAGAGCAGATTCAGGCCACGCGTTATCAAGACCAAGAGAGCCATGCGTTTCAAGACCCTGGGAGAGTGTCACTGATTTTCCGTGTTGGCGCTGAATTGTCCTGTTCTTCTGCCGACCGAATAGTCTTGTTTTGCGTGTTCTGCGTGAGCGTCTTGTTTTTTCCCCTTTGACACACCGCCCATCCACAAAATCATGTTCTGTTGTTGTTGTCGTTGTCGTTGTCGCCGCTGATGGTCCTGCTAGTTTTGTTGGTGGAACAACTTTTTTTTTTTTTTTTGATCAAACAAGAGGCGGTGTTGCTCAACGGCTGGGTTTGCTTTACTGCTTTGGTATTGTAGGTCACTCAGGAAGAGGCTGTGGCAGCGTTCCGCGGCATTGCTGACCCTGGACCTCTGACCATGTCGGGCATCAAGCTTGGTGGCCAGAAGTACATGTTCCTCCGCAACAACGACGGCCGTTCCGTCTATGGCCGCAAGGTTGGCTCACCTGTCCGCTCGATCTTTTGTTTGGTTGTTTTGACCGTGTCGTGTTACAGACACATGCAGGCTATTGTGCTTCAAGGTCGCACACAAGGCTGAACCGAGGTCTTCCCTCTCATTGGATTTGCTGAACGCTCGCAAACATTGCGTAGGGTGGTGATGCCGGCTGTGTTGTTGTCAAGACTGGCAAGGCCATTGTCATTGGTATCTACGAGGGTGGTCTCCAGGTATGCAACGCGTGTGCATTGATCCGATGTATGGTTGGTCTTTTGAGTATCGTCTGTTGTATGGAACAGATCTTACCTCTTTTGGCTCTGCCAACACCTGTTTTGCTTTCAGGCTGGTGCCTGCGCCAACGTTGTGGAGTCGCTCGGTGACTACCTCATCAACGCCGGCTTTTAAATTTGATTGACCTCTCATCCCACCTTGCCCCTATCCCCTTTGATTGTGTTTTTACCTCGCGTTGCCCAGTGCTTCCATCCCCTTTTTGAAAATTTCCAAAGAAACTTGCTTCTTCTTTTCTGTCAGTCATACCTTTGCCGATATCAGTCCACTGCTTCTGTTGGGTCAGCCCTGCTTTTCCTAGCTGCCAGTGCTGAATGCCATTTTTTAGCTGGTTGTTCCGGTTGAGTCAGGTTGCGACAGTTTGATTTCCAAGAATTCGAAACCGATGTATTTTTAGTCGAGAAAAAAAGTGAATGAAAAAAACCAACTGTTCGACATTGCACTCGAAAGACGAGGAGCTTCTCGGTGCTTCCAAACCATGATGACGATAATGATGCTTTTGGTCGAGGCAAATAGCATCTCGGCAAACCAGCCACATCGCTTTGCTCTGGACCTAAACGACCGGCAATGGCGGCGTCCAGGGGCTGGGCCGTTTCAACCCTGGCCCTTTGGGCCTTGCTCCTTATTATCTTCTCAGTCCACTCATCCACGGCTGCAAAGTCTCATCGGGCCGCCTGTGCCACTTGCCGGAGGCTAACATCTGATCTCGCCGCGCACATGCTCAAAACTGCCGATTCAAACTTTGGTACGCTCATGCCGCGGCGGCCAATCCCAGTGGCTTCGGTGTACTCTCCTCTAGCTACCCTCCCCCCTTGACTTGCTGGGCTCCCACATTGCCTCCCCCGCTGCTGCGCCAAAGCTAACGGTTGCTCACACGCATGGCAGGCGGGGGTAACAGCGCATGGGAAGCTCGCTCTCTAGGATCTTGGGCCAAAAGGTGTGTACCAACTTGTCTCCGCACCTTACCATCCACAACCAAACGTCCTCTGCCCGAAACGTGTCTTGCAGTTGACGTCCAGGATCCAACCATGTTTGATCTTTGTTCGTGGCTGCAGCGAGACACGGTTTGAAGAGGTCCTGGAGCACGCCTGCTCCTCCGGCGACTACAAGTGCCACACCATGCTGGAAAAGCACGAAGACTTTCTTGGCGACTGGTGGCGCGAGCGGTCCGTTTGTGCCATTTCTTGCACCGACAGATTGCCATATCCGAAGACAGCCGCGATGATGTCTGACGAAACTCGTGGGGGCCTTGTTTGCCAACCATCTTTGACATAGAAACGCGAGCAAGGACGCCCAGGCTGACAAAATGCTCGAGCGCCTTCTCTGCATCGATGAGCTCAAGGTCCGGTACCCCATGAGCAACGAGATTTTGCACACATACAGCTTGGGCCTGTTGGCAAAGAACTCGCCCGCCTCCAAATTTAACGGCCATGCCTTGCCTTGCCTTGCTTGTCATGACCATGCCTTGCCTGGTTTAGGTATGCTGCGCAAGCGATGCATTTGGGGCAAAATGTAGGCCATGTCCTCGCGTGGGAAATGCCGTTTGCAATGGTCATGGTACTTGCCAAGGAGCTGGAGAGCGCCAGGGCTCGGGTATCTGTACCTGTGAAGCTGGTTATACTGGGCCGAGCTGCTTGGAATGCGCACCAGGGTACTTTGCCGGCAATGGCGCTTCCTGTGAGCGCTGTGCCACAGCTTGTGCAAGCTGCTCGGCGGCCGGCGCTGAGCACTGCCTTGAGGTGAGCACTTTTTGGGCTTTCGTCAGCCCAAGTGTTTCAGATCCCCCAACTCATCTAACCCTGTGCCTACATTAGTGTGCCACTGGGTTTCAACGTGCCGAGGGGGCTGACTTGTGTGAGGATGTGGATGAATGTGCGAGTGGCACGCCCTGCCAGGATAGGCCTGCCACGTTTTGCCGAAACACCGCCGGACACTACGAATGTGCTGCATGCCACGCCAACTGCCATTCCGAACACGGCTGCCGTGGGCCCTCGGCTGCTGATTGCGAAGCGTGTGCCGAAAACTTTGGGCGTGTTGAAGAAAATCAAGCATGTGAGCCCGTAGATGCCAACGATACGAGCAAAGAGGAACTGTAGCCACACCGTTCCTTTGTCCAGAAGAAAAAGAATTGATGGCTTGTTTTTGAGCCCTCAAAAACGTGCTTTCCTCGCTCTCCCTGTCTGCCGAGCGGCTTCAATCGCCAGCTTATGCCCGATCGTCCAACCTATTTGGCCGAGCGTGGGTCTCACAGTGTCACCACGGCTAATTCGAGAGCAAAATCGACACGAATCGAAGTCATTGAATTCAGCCCGCGCTGCACGACACGCACACGTACAACAAACGAGGGCAACACAAAGCGTCAGCAACATCCCCCAGTGAAAATCCTCTGCGCCTGTTTGGGGAATTGCGCGCTTGAGAAAGCAGACAACCAGTGCGCTGTTAAGCACGTCAAGGCCAGGATGCGAGGTAAAGACCCCACGGCCTTATTCTTCCGCTGCCGGCTTGCGAGGAGTGTCCAAGTCTGGGAATAACAACAAGATGGGCGCAAGAAAGAGTACGGATCAATGAGCGTCAACAAGTCCCTGTCGGCGAGAGGCCCAATCGACTGTTCCCATGCGGCTGTGCTACACACCAAGTTCCTCGCCCATGCAACGCTTGTACACATCAAGAATGTCAAGGCAGGTCGTCTCAAAGTGCGAAGAAGCGTCATAGGACTTTGTGACAAAGATGCCCGAGTCCTTGCCATCACCAGTGGGGACAAGGAGAGGATCAACGCTCACAAACTTCTCGAGCACTGGACCAATCGTCTGGAAAGCTGGTGCAAGCTCTGCCTCAGGATTGCCTGGACACGCGCAGCGCAAGTGTTTCCAAAGATATCGAGGTACCAATTGTAGGTTAGCTGATTCCAAGCATCAAGATCAGCGGCAGGAGCTTTGTAGTCACTTACCAGTTTCGACCATGGTGGAGCAAATGGCAATGTACTTGCCCTCGGCAGCAACGTGATGCGCAGCCGAGACGCAGGCAATGTAAATGTCTACATATCACAAGAGCCAAAAGAATGCAAGGATGACGGTACAAGATAAATGGCGCGCATGATGATGGCGAGGCGGTCGTGTGCTTGTGACATACCATTCTTGCGGTCAACCTGGTTGCCGGGAAGGATGATTTGGCAAGAGACGGCATTGTTGGTCTGAGGGATGGGGTGGTCCATCAAGCAAATGGCACGGACAACCTCTCCCTCCTTCTTGACCTGGTCCGGAAAGTAGGATGGGTCACCAATAACCAAAGGTGCCTTGGCCACCTCGCCCTCCGACTTGACGCCCACGACCTTGCCACCCTCCATGACAACTTCTTCGATTGGCTTGGCCAGCATGTAGGTACCACCGTAGATAGCCGAGAGGCGAGCAAAGCCTTGAGGCAGCTCGCCGAGACCATAGAGAGGGTAGAGGTAAGGACTCTTGGTGCCCTCGTAACGGGCCACTGAATCACGGTACAGCTTGATGCGCTTGACCGTCTCGAGCAGTGGTTGCTCCAGGTAATCCTCAGTGGTGTAAAGCGCCAAGGCATGGCCTGCAGAATAAAGGCGCGAGTGCCGTGTGAGCTGTTCGATGCGTGTACATGCACGCGCAGAGAAGCCCCTGCTGTCGACGCAAACCTTCCACCCCCGACCCCATCCCCGATTCTGACGTGTCCTCCGGGCTCTTGGCAGACAGTCCAGACAGCAATGCCAAAGATCGTAAACATGTAATCAACACTCACCGGTAAAGTCCTGAGTATTGCCGTCGCAACCGAACTTGGCGTAGGCCTCCTTCATGGGCATGTCTGGAGACAAACCCTTCCAAGTCTCTTGGTCATCAGCGTCGTAGCCCATGACCCACACCAAAAGGTTGCGGAAACGACGCTTTTCAAAAATACCCATCAAGCCGCTGGTCAGCGCTTCCGACTCGGTCGAGGGGACCTACTCCAACCCAGCCAACGTGCAAAGATAGGGCAAGCAAAGAATTGACACGGCACGAGTGGCGTGAGATGATATCCTGCACATGTCAGGCAAGAATACCCCAGGCCACTGCATTCAAGGATTCAAGAAGGAGTGCGCCAAAGGAGAAGGGGACACACACACACACACACACACACACACACACACAGAAAGCGGGAACGCAAAAGACGAGAAATTGGAAAAAAGCGACAGTACCTTGTGCACCTTGCCGCCCTTCTTCCAGACAAAGCTGCCCTCAATGTTCTTGAACTCGAGGTAGCGGGTGACATCCGTATGCAGGAGCATCTTGACTAGCAGACCATTGGCCATGAGAAACTTGGGCACAAGGTCAACATTCCAGTCGCGGCCTCGACCCATGCTCTCAGGAGGTGAATTGGGCTTCTTGAAGGCCTCGTACAGCTTCTCCAAGGGCGTCATGGAGGCTGAGGCACCGCCATAGTAGTCATTGCGGTCCATGTGCAGCACCTTCTTGCCGTTGACCGAGAGCAGGCCCGAGAGGACGCACTCTTTCAGGCCAGTGCCCAGCACGATCGCATCATATTGCTCATCCTAGATGGGACCAGCGTTGCGTGAGGCCACATCGCAAGAACGCCGTGCCTCTTTCACAATCAGACCAACTTCTACCGCCCTCACATTTGCCAACCAAGCAAAAACGGAGACCGAGAAGAGAGCGCAAGCAGAAGAGGAGAGAAGCAACGCAATGATGGTTTCCTTCCCCCTTTGCCCCATCAGCGGAATGGAGTCGAATAGATTCAACCGCCAAAACGCGCTGTTGCGATCTCGCCATCGCCCGCCAAAAAACCAATGCATCTCCGACCAGGGACACCAGGTCGCGTCGACGTACCATTGCGGCAGATTTTGTTGTCTTGGAGAAAAACGCGACACAGGGGCACAGAAGCTCAGTCACCAAAAAGAGCCAAAGTCAAAAGCAGACAAAAGAATACGAATGCTACAACCTCTTGGAGCCGTGACAGTGGGCGTGTGTTGAATCAGTGGCATGAAAACAAAACAAAGGAGAACAAAAGGGAATGCAAGCTGTGGCTAGCCAAGTGATCTTGTAATAATAGTTTGAATGACATAATCAGTGTGAATGTTATTCAGAACGTCGCGCGTGAAATCTTGTTGAGACAAGTTATCTGCTTGGAGATTGTCAGCAATCTCTTGTCTGTGCGCAGTTTTTTTTTTTTTTTTTTTTTTTTTTTTTTTTTTTTTGCTTTTGGCGGAACTGAATCATTCACTGGTCGTCGGGGCACCTGCCTTGATCCTGGAACGCAGGCGTACATTCATCGATATTAGGCCGAGCTTCAATCCGTCCGTAATCATGACGGAGCAGCTTCAGTTTGTTCTCAAACATGGCTACAGTCCGACTGAAGGAGTGGCCTTGCCGACCCAAGATCTGGCCAGCCTCACGGAGGTACCACCGACATGCTACATCGGCGGCCAACGACAACGCCATGATGCCCTGATGCTCACAACATTTACCCAACATAGGCAACCGGTACAGACGCCCTTAACTTCATCGTTGCTGCGAGCCCTGATCACCCTGCCAATTGGGAGCAAAGCTCTGCTGGCTTACTCGATCTGGTGCGTTGAACCTTTGCTCAAAGCTGCCTCCTCCAATCGAAGCCATGGAGCTCATATACCTCGCCACTTGATATGATTGATGGCACTTGCCCATTTGCCAGCTTCAAGATACTGCTCCCCCGCTAACCTGGGTGGCGGTAGCCACCTACTTTACCAGATTGGCCCTTCACGATGTTGACCTCCGTGCCGGGTATGCTCAGGATGGCAGGACCTGTCCTCCAGGATTTTGTCTCCGAATCCTCACCTGTCCACTGGCTGCCATAAACATGACTATCAAATAGCTTGGTGCCAAAACTCGAGGCCGTAGCCCAGGGACCTTTTGGACAGTTGAAGGGGGCAACGGCCCTAGAGGTCAGTGTCACCGACTGGCCATTCCACCTCGCCGCAGTGCGTCTGCATAATGTCAACAGCCCGGCTGTGAATTTCACCTTAAAATGCCTTTTCACAGTGTCTTCGAGTAATCACACTTTACAGCGTAGCTGACGCCGAAACCCAAGAGGAACTACGTCCAGGCCTTGGCAATGTAACAGCCGGCGGCCTTGTCACTCAAGCCAACATCCTTTACGCCCTCGCCAACACATGCAAGCCCCTCCCACCTACAACAGATGAGACCACCCTGGCCAATAATCTCGAAACGCTTCAAGTCATGGTTCAAAACGCTTTGGCCCAATGCCACCCCCACACCATTGCCCCCGCGGCACTATACCTCGCCCGCCAATCAAACAGCGGCTTGCATGTACGCCCATGTGCTGCAAATCTGGCATCACAGAAACCAGACTTGATTTTGGATTCGGTCCCCTTATGGCCCGCCTACCCTCTTTTTCTTGGTTTTTTTTTGTCCATTCTTTACCCACCCATCCCCTCACGCCCCCTTTTCTCACTGTTTTCCCCGGGTTTGGCGTCGCAAGTTTGTGCGCCGAATGTATTTTCGGCTTGTGCATAGCCTTGCGCCCATGGATATCACGCTCAGCGTGTTGCTGTTCCACAATGCCAAACGTGTGTTCCTGCGTCCTCAAGAGCTGGCGTCCTGTGAATCTCGATACGGCCGTGCCGTGAGCGTCATTCGCCACCAGGTTTGTCACAAATTTTTTTTTTTTTTTTCCTTCCGGTGGCATCTGCCTCCTTCGTGCCCCCGTCTCCCGACTTTCTTGTTGGTGTTCATGTCAACGGTTTTGTGCCAGTTCGATGGGCACATGAAATACATCATACCTCACACCTCTTGGCGACTATTCACATGCTAGCCCGTCAGTCTTGTTTTGGCTCACACTCTCAAGCATTACCCAGCCCAGTCGTCCACATGCGCCCTAGCTCGTGTGGGCGACAGCACCGAGGTATGTCGCGCTCTGCCAATGACACTGGCAGGGTACTACAACAGATATTGCACAAGCTCGGCCCCTGATCACCCAAATGGAATAAATAGTTGATGGCTCTGCGCCTCGGAGCTGGAACTCGTGCTTGCATACTATTGGGAGCCACAGATGCCCGAGCCTCCTCGACATGGCTTGACACACTCTCCCAGGTGTCCATGGATGTGACTTTTGAGGCACCGGACAAGCAGATGGACCGAGATGCTCTGCTACACACCCACTTGATCATGTGTGGGCGTCTAGCCTCGATGCTGCAACAAGCGTGAGCTCCCCATTTGCAACGCCACTGATTGGCCTCATTTACCGCATCTTTTGTGCATGCTTCTGACCCGCCCTTCTTTCTCCTCTCGTGTGATAGGACGCTGGCATGCACTGCATCCCCCCACCCAATTCTCTTGCTCTTGCTGGCCATCGCTGACTTGGATTCAGTTGCTGAGGTCAAATTAATGTCTGGGCTTTGGTGTTTTGAAGCTGTTCTTTCGTTGTTTTAGTTTTATTTTATTTTCACTCTCACTATTGTTCGGAGTTGTTTTGACTCTATGCTCAGGTTATGCATGAAGTGGTGGCCTATTTGGTGGACCACTCACCATTGTTGACGGATGCATTGCTCATCCTCACTTCGCTCGGGGCAGATGCTCACATCCAACTCCTGCAGGTGAATATGCTTCCCGACCACAAAACCATCTTGATCCAAGTGAACATGTACGGCACGGTGTTGATGAAGCGTCTGACCATCAGTCGTTTGTTCTCTCTCTGTCAAGCGTATGCTAGCGACCGTTGTTGTCAAACAAAGACCCGATGCGCACATTGTCGCCTTCATCAACTTGTACGTTTGTATGCGGCTGTCATTGACCGGTCTTCTCGATGATTGCTGGACTCTCAACAACGCTACACCTCAAACGCCGGTTTCTGGCTCACCTCTCGTGCAGGCTTGCATTGCTTCAGCATCCCTTGCATTCGAACTTGACAAATGCCGTTACTCGATGGCTCGGCTTGGACTGGTACAGCGACAACGTTATTCTTCGCTCCAACGTCAACATCCGGCGACAGGTTAGATTTCATCAAAATCAACTCTGCCCACTTTGATCCCACGTCCCCGCGTATACACTGACCTACCTGCTACTCATTCGTTTTCCTGTTGCGCCACTTTATAGGAGGTGCTTCGAGGCCGATCCATGTCGATTGACATCGCAGACCTTGGTACGGCACGTCTTGAACTCCACATGATTGAGAATGCCGTTATGTGCTCATGTGAATTGGTCTGCTGTCCCAACGCACGCAGTCCGATTACAGTTTCTAATTCGCCAGCAAATTGCAGGTGGCACACTCGCCTTTCAGGCCATCCCCAGTGACTTTCTTCAAGTATGATAATGTCGCCCACTTATACCTAATCATTAGCACGTAAACCCCTCAAACCCCCTTGGCGTTTCACAGGGCGTCTTTTCGAAAGAGGTCAAGGCCAACCATAACGAGGCGGCTCAACTGGAGCCCCTTTTGCAGTCCATGCTCAAGCTTCGTCCTTTGGACACGACAACTGCCCTGGCAGTTGCTCCACTTTCTGCCGTACCGTTGACGCCCCTCGGTTCTGATAAGACTATGGTTTGTGCGCGAATCAAAGCGTGCACGGCCTGCTCGCCGCAGTCAAGACTGATGTGCGCTCATTTGCGGCATTCCATATGTGCTTTGTTCACCTAGACGGATACCTTTGTGCTGCAATGCAAACTGATTGGACAAGTACGCGCGCTCGTAAAAGGGCTGGTGTTTGCCTTCTCCCTGCTGGCCTCATTCGGTTCCCAAGCATTCACTCATACGTCTTCTGGCATAGTCATCTTTTGATTCCTCGCCGCTGAAGGGACGATCGCTGATTGGGGTTTCCATTTCTCTCCGCCATATTGACACATCGGATAATTCT